TCTATCTGTTTTTTTTTTCCATCAATCATAATCCATCCGTTTAAAACACGATTATCCACGTATAAAAGATGGATGTCTAGGCGTTGACCGTAGGCCTTGTTTCTAGGCCCAAATGGTATTATCAACCAACCGATAAAAGCATCGCGAGAGCCTAGCACAATCATAAGATACGTTGATTAAACCAGCCTCAATCTTAGAACTAGCCCACCATTCTAGTAAATATTTGACCCATTAAGATTTTCGTATAGTTATGTATTGATATGGGAAAAAAATCCATAGATATTACATTTTCGGCGTTATTGTAATTATAATTTTTGTGATTAACTAGTGTCACTCAATTTTGGTGTTTGACTATCTCCCTAAAAGAAAAAAACATAAAAAAGTGGATAAATCTTCTTGCATCATGTCCATCAAAGAAAAAAAAATATCTTCCCAAGACACGAGTTCACTAATTAATCACTAGACAAATTTTTTTATGCTAATTATAGATTGATAATTCTAGCACGAACTTGTCGGGAATAAGAGAGAGCTAATTTTGCATGGCTTAATGAATGGGGTTTCAATTATAATTTTTTACGTTAATTTAAGGATGATTTTTTCACGAAATAGCCTTGGTAGCTCCAGTTATTTGGTGTTTCTAGGTCGAGATCTTTAAAGAAGCCACCCAAGTCGCTCCGTCGTGCTTTTGTTGATTGTTTGTCCTCCTAACAAAAAAATAATTAGTGTGTGAATTGAAGAAGATAGATCGAAGTAATGAAGAATTGAAAATTTCAAGAGGTTATCCAAAAACGTTTAGTAATTTTTTTTATTTTTTTACATGGTAAATTAATATGACATATCATGTCATGTAAAAAAAATTATAGAGGCTCTCGCTTTTGATAAAAAAAAATTAATCAAAAAACAGACTAACGATATCATATTAACAAAAAAATTAAAAATAAATAAAAAAATAAATTTACCTTCAAAAAATAAATTGACATTCCATACTATTAATGCAAGCGGGAATCTTTCGGAACATTGCATGTCCGGTGTCGTCAACATCCAAGTTAGCAACTTTTTGTCCGTATAAGCAATTATAATTTTGCATCAACACATTTAGGTCCTCTCGTGTGTAGGTCAATCGTATATTAATGGCCAATTATTTGGAGACCATAACTCTAAAAGATCTCATATCGTTTAATATCTACAAAATAGACTAAGTTACAAAAAAAAAGATTCAATTCTATAGCCGAAATTAAGAATCTAATAAGATGGTGTTATGATGTTGCATCATTCTATAATAATCCATCTTTTTTTTCCATCAATAATAATCCATCCGTTTAAAACACGATTATCCGCGTATAAAAGATGGATATCTAGGCACTTACCGTAGGCCTTGTTTCTAGGACCAAATGGTATTATCAACCAACTGACGAAGCATCGCAGAGCCCAAGCACAATCATAAGATGCGTTGATTAAACCGGCCTCAATCTTAGAACTAGCCCACCATTCTAGTAAATATTTGACCCATTAAGATTTTCGTATAATTATGTATTGATATGGGAAAAAAATCCATAGCTATTACATTTTCAGTGTTATTGTAATTATAATTTTTATGATTAACTAGTGTCACTCAATTTTGACATATGACTATCACCCTAAATGAAAACAAACATAAAAATGTGGACAGATCTTCTTGCATCACGTCCATCAAAGAAAAAAAAAATCTTCCCAAGACACAGCTCGCTAATTAGTCACTGGAATTTGAGCCGATTGTAGAAAATCAAATTGCGCACTCTTTTGCAAGGTCTGCAAATCAAGGGATCCTCCTTTGATATTGAGCACCTCTTTGTTCATGATTGTACCTCTTTATCTAAGCAATGAAATTATGGCTATTTGATAAAATAGGACAGCAACGTCCACGAAACAATCAGCCCTTCATTTTGGCAAATAAAAACAAAGGAAAATGCCGACATGGCATATCCCTACCCTTCTAAAGTAATTTTGCACCTATAATGCTGCGTGTGCTACTAACAATTGCGCTAATCCGGGAGAGCCAGTTTGCTTCCGTCATTTACATGCTTGAATAATAAGGGAAAATTATAGTGGTTTTGACTGAGTTAATAATGGAACTATGGAAGACATTACTTTTTGGGATTGGTTTTCTTTTGAACAAGATTGATTTTAGTAGGCATTTACTATTAAACACTAAAACTCAGCTATTTTGAATTAATAGTTATTTTTAATATACAAATTGAATTATTTTTTCCTCTTCCAGTGGTTGTCTTACTTTATATTTTTGTTGGTTTCAAAATAATTATCTTAATCAAAATATCAAGTACTCCCTCCATCGCAAAGAGATTGTTGTTATTTTTTTTAATTTATTTATGTCCTAGAATACTTGTGTGGTCAAAATATTTAATATTATGTTTTTCTAAAAAAAAAATCAATTATATATTATATTTTCACCTTAAATAATTTTTTTTAAAGAAAATACTTTTAAAAAGTACGGATATGATATTAGAATTAATAAATTTTTTAAATTGGGCAAAAGACTATCGCTTTAAGACATAGAGAATTTGTATTTTTTTTTAACATCCTTAATTTGAATCTAACTTACAAGAGACCTACAACTAAAATGGTGGTGTTTTAAAAAACTATGAACAGAAAATATCCTATGTCATAACAATAAATGATTTTTTTTTAATATGTATATAGAGTCAAACATGATATTTTTTAAAAAACAAAAAACAAAAAAATTATATGAGGAAAAATTTAAGAGAGGAAAGAGAAAATGAAACAAATCCTAAGTGGGGATATAAATGTGTTTTTGGTACGAAATTAAAAGTATTCTTAAACCAGCTAATGATTAAGAGGACATATTTTCTTATGCAGTTATTGGGTTCTATGGTTTGATTTTAAACAAGATTAAAGATAATAATTTCGTCTGAAAACTAGCCAAAAAAAAAAAAAAAAAACCGAGCAAAAAATACTACGATGCACCTAAAATCCAAAAAAAGAAAAGAAGAAAAAGAAAAGATTGATCAATCTAAAATCTAAAGGTTAAAATGTGAATTGCAATCTTGAAAAATCCATTTTGCTCTGTGTCAAATATTTATTAGGGTTCATCATGTTAGATTTAATTTGTTTCCCCTTAAAACCTAGATAATCATTCTTCCACTGAGAACAACTCACTCGTTGAAATTGCACTGGTGATCGGAATCGCAGTGCAAAACAATCAACATTATTACGAGCACATACAGATACAGCCAATCAGATTATCACTACCACCCCTCCCCCATTTACATGCCAATATCTTTTTTGATAAAATTTTCATGGAATCTTCGTTGGCAGGCATAATTGACAAATTACAACCTAAAACTCCATAATCGCAAAGAGATGCCCAAAAATTGTAGATATAGCATTGTATATATGTTTTCTTTAAAGTATTTATATTTTTAATATGAGGTTCTAAAATCAAGTTACAAAACAGGTGCGAATCCAGAAAGAAAAATAAAATAAAAAATCTCTAAATTTTAATCTTTAAGCTTCAAAATTTAGACCTCAGATGACAAAAAGACATTAATATAACATTAATTATTAACTAATAATGTTCGTTGAGGCTATACATCCATCGAGGATAAATGTGCAAAAAAAAAAAAAACCGGGGCTACAAATTACGATGATACTATCATGATCATGTTCCTGAAATTGGATGGTAGTGCCTTAGAAAGAAAGAAAGAAACTAGTACTTCCTTGTAGAAAGTTTTGTCATTCCTGCTCCCACTTGCAGTATTTTTTTTTTTTTAGAAGAAAAAAGAAAAATGGTGGATAATATGTATTTGGCTACATATGAGTTGATATCTTGGCGTGTGACAAAATTTTGTACTCTAGCTGGGCACATGGTGGGCTGTTACACCACCAATTATCAGTGCCTCTTTGTCAAGTTCCAAAAAAACGAGTGTCACTCGCTCATTCGTACCAAACAAATTGCTCCTCTCTTATGGATCCTGATCTAGAAAAAAAGGATGGAAGCAGTCATTGAAGTCAGCCCAGCACTAATTTGATGAAAAAATTGCATGCTTCACAGAAGAGGAAAGATATATTCCACAAGATTCCCTATGCTAGATTTTTGTTGGTGCCAAAACTTTTCTTGCACGCGGTGACTACCATTACCAAATTGCGTTTGCGGTCCGCACGCAATAAGGTCTCATATGATAGCCCCCGTTACCTTAGCAAAACGGAGATTGTATGACTTTGATGTTGCTGGGTTTTGAGTTTGATTATAACATGTTCCTTCATGTTTAAAAACCTACATCTTAGAACTTAAAGGTCGTAGTTCAGTGGTGAAATTGAGAGTCGCTCACTGATAACATCCCGGTTCGAATCTCTCTGCGCACGGACGTCACCTCGGTCATGCCTTACCTGTCCACTAAGCTTACAGAGTGTTCAATGAGTCCAAAGATTAGTTGAGGTATGCGTAAACCGACCCGAACACCCCGAGTTTAAAAAAAAAACAAAAAAAAAAAACAAACAAACAAACCTACATCTTAATTATTTGACTCTTGTTGACAGTTGTAAAATAAAAAAATTTATTTTTCTCTAAATCCCACTACATTGAATTTACAAAACAAGAAATAAAAAATTATCAAACAGCCAAATTAAATTTTGGGTTTTCAAATATGTAGTTGTACCTTATAGGCTGCAGGTACAAAACTTAGACTATGAATAATTTACTCAACGAATTTTGAAATACAACTCAAGCAACTAATTGATCAAGACTTCTACGTAATGAATTAATAATGGGCTACAATTATAGAGCTGGGTTCGCTATTACAGACCACGTGGGCAAAAAAGCTAGTAACGAGGAGGACATACCACAGAAAAAACAATTATATATATGTATATGCATGGAGGATATTGAGCTTCCATACTTCTGAATTCACTATATAAGCATAAGCATAAACAACTTCACCCCATTACACTTCTAAAAGACTATCTCCTTCCAATTTACATTGCTCATGGCTACTCATAACAATGTTCCCTTCTGTAAGTGGTGGATTTCCGTCATCACCATCCTACACTTCACTCAGACATTGTCACAAACCGACAATTATATTGTTCACATGGATTTATCGGTGATGCCCAAAGCCTTTTCAGGCCAGCATCATTGGTACTTGTCCACTCTTGCTTCTGTATTTGATGTCTCTAACAGTAGCACCGGCAGGGCCAGAGCTGCCACTTTGACTGCCTTTTCTAAACTCCTTTACAGTTATACTCATGTTATCAATGGTTTTAGTGCTAGTCTCACTCCTTCTGAGCTTGAGGCTTTAAAAAAATCTCCGGGCTACATTTCTTCCATCAAAGACTTGCCAGTTAAACATGACACAACTCATTCAAGCAAATTTCTTGGCCTCACACCTCAGTCCCCAGCATGGAAGCTGTCAAATTATGGTGAAGGTATGATTATTGGGTTGGTGGACACAGGTGTTTGGCCAGAAAGCGAGAGTTTCAATGACCATGGAATGTCTGAAATTCCAAAAAGGTGGAAAGGAGAATGTGAAAGTGGCACTCAATTCAACTCTTCAATGTGCAACAAAAAGCTCATTGGAGCTCGATTTTTCAACAAAGGCCTAAGTGCAAAGTATCCTAACCTCACCATAGCTGTGAATTCGACGCGTGACACAGATGGGCATGGGACACACACATCTAGCACAGCTGCTGGAAATTATGTGGAAGGTGCATCATACTTTGGCTATGCCAACGGAACTGCTAATGGAGTGGCTCCACGGGCACATGTAGCCATGTACAGGGCTCTGTGGAATGAAGGTGCTTACACAACCGATATTATTGCTGCAATTGATCAAGCAATAACCGATGGTGTAGATGTATTGTCTTTGTCATTGGGCTTGGATGGACTTCGTTTGGATGAAGACCCCATTGCCTTGGCAACATTTGCAGCCGTAGAGAACAATGTATTCGTGTCCACTTCTGCAGGAAACGAAGGGCCTTTCCACGAGACACTACACAATGGCATACCTTGGGTGCTAACCGTTGCTGCTGGTACTTTAGACCGTGAATTTGATGCGGTTTTGACACTTGGAAATGGAATTTCAATCACAGGCTCATCATTCTATTTGGGGAGTTCATCTTTTAGCGAAGTGCCAATCGTTTTCATGGATGGATGTCACACAATGAGCGAACTGATTAAAATTGGACCGAAGATTGTTGTCTGTCAAGGTGGGAATGACAGTAACGACTTAAGTGACCAAGTTGAAAATGTCAGCAGCGCAAATGTTACCGCAGGTGTCTTCATAACAAATTTCACAGACACTGGAGAATTCATCGGGAATGGATTTCCAGTTATACTTATGAATTTAAAGGATGGCAAAACCATCATAGATTACATCAAAAGCAGCAACAGGCCACAAGCAAGCGCAGAATTTCGGAAAACAACTTTGGGGATTAAATTAGCTCCGAGTGTTACTAGTTACAGTTCTAGAGGGCCATCCGCGAGCTGTCCATTGGTAATGAAGCCTGACATTATGGCTCCTGGTGCGCGCATCTTAGCTGCATGGCCCCAAAATATTGCAGTGGATTTGAACAATTCACAGCCTTTATTAAGCAATTTCAAAATATTGTCGGGGACATCCATGGCTTGTCCGCATGCAGCAGGAGTGGCTGCACTCTTGAGAAAGGCACACCCTGATTGGAGCCCAGCTGCCATTCGATCAGCCATGATGACGACTGCTGAAACAATGGATCACACTATGGAACCTATTAAAGACCTTGGTTCTGGTAAACTATACCCAGCTAGTCCTCTAGCCATGGGAGCTGGACAAATTAACCCCAACAAGGCCCTAGACCCTGGTCTCATTTATGATGTTAATTCAACTGATTACGTGAGACTACTTTGTGCTACAAACTTCACCGAAAAACAAATCCAAGCTATCACAAGATCATCTTCTACTGATTGTTCCAACCCATCCGCTGACCTCAACTACCCTTCTTTTATTGCCTATTTCAATGCAAAAAATTCGCCATCAAATTTGACCGCTGTGAGAGAATTTCACAGGACAGTGACTAATGTTGGAGAAGGAAGGTCTACTTACACAGTAAACGTGACTTCCATGAGTGAGTTAAAGGTCAGTGTCATGCCAGACAAGTTGGAGTTCAAGACCAAGTATGAGAAGCTAAGCTACAAACTGACTATTGAAGGTCCAGCACTTCTGTCCGAAACAGTAACTTTTGGTTATCTCATTTGGGCTGATGCTGGGGGTAGACATGTTGTCAGGAGTCCCATAGTGGCAACAAATTTGAGCCCAGGGTTGTCTTCAAGGAACTAATTAACTAACTTGTATACTGTACAAGTTAACTTATATATCTGTTATTTTTTAATAAAAATAAAATTATGGATTTGAATCATCTCATATTAGATTAAGAACATGATCCATCCTGTTTCAAATCTCACCATTAATTTTGATATATATATATATATTTATATCACAAGGAACCAGTCAGAAGAAATAAACAATAATTCAATCAAGTTGTATGTAATTGACAAAAAGTAACATAATTGCGACTTGTGGACAACTTCAAGCTGTGAATTTGTTGCATGTGCAGAGGGTATCCCACCATTAATACAATGGGATATTTATGTGTTTATATATTCCATGTATCATCTCAATTATTAGGAATGCTTGTAGTCTTGTGTAGGATTTAGGTCCTCAAAAAGTAGACAGTTGATAGGTAAGTTTACTAATTAATTACATGACAGCTGATTAATCAACTATCTTCTTTCTTAATAATTTGATTAAAGTATACATACACGCCTCAGAATAGAACGCAATCCACAGTCACGCAAGTCTGCAAATAGCTGGAATTTCATTTTCTAATTATATAAATTCGTTAATGCATGATCGATCATCCAAAGTTTTATGGTATATGCTTATATCTATCTACTCCTTAGTCGATTTAAATTAACACACAATTTCATTTTGAATAATAATGAACATTTCAGCGAGCGATTGAGTATGTAGTTTTCACCCAAAAAAAATAAAAAACTATTATAATGATAAGTATAATAGAGACGCAACTGCATTCAAATTATTTTTGGTCCTTACAAAAATTTTAACTTATTGTGTATATATATATATATATATATATATATATGACATGATTAAGCTAAAAATAAAAAGTCATATCCACCCCATCATCCTCACTTGCACGCTCGTTCATTTTCGGCCTTGCTGATGCAAAAGAACTTTGTTATTGTGTGGAGCTTATATATGTGTGCGTGCGCACGGTTTGGATTCCATTAATGAAAAAAAGAGTTTGCAAGACAAGCTGATAAATATATGGCTAATGCGTAGCCCAATAGGTACATGGAACGCCAAAGAATAAAATAATAATAATAAATAAATACATGGCTAAAAAATTATTAGGTTAAAGTAAAATAGGTTTAACTAGTTTTTTTTGCCCATGCTATCGTCATGGATTGGATAAAATATATAAAATCGTTTAGAAAAATCATTTTAGTTTTATAGTTTGTTTTATGTTGTGAATCTATAAAAATATATGAAATAAAAGGTAAAAAAATTATTTATAATTTTTTAATAAAAAATTTTGTATTTAACTATTTCTTATCCGTGTTTTTCATAATTTTTCCTTCGGAAAAAGGATTTATCCTTGTTAATTCATAGATTACTAACTAAAACTAAAATTAAATAAAGTTTTCTTTTAAAAAAACTTTAGTATTTCATAAGATTGTGTCGAAAAACATAAATAACGGTTATTAAAAACTTACATAGAATTGAACAAATTATTTTTTTATTTAATATTGATGAGAATATCAGTTTTTGAAAAAGTATGAATTTAATTTTTATATATTTATTTATAAAAGAATAAATAATAGTAAAATAAAAAATTATATTAATTTGAATAATTGAATGGTTAAGCAAAAACATAATTTTAATTATCTAGTTGAAAATAAGTTAATTTCAAAATATTCAAAAATAAATAAATAAATAGTAAATACTTAGTGCAAGTAGTAGTCGCATAGTTAATTTCTAAAAAAATAATGATCCAATATTTTTTTATACATCATAACTATACTAAGTGAGTTCGCAGTTTTCAGTCTAAAATAAAAAATACTATAAAAAAGAAGAAGCTAACTTACAAGGAATTTATTGACTAAATTTGAAGTTAATAGACTAAAATAAAAATTATTACAAATATGATTTTTGATTAATTTTGATTATACAAACAAGAAACAAATTAATAAAATATGTGAATTCTTTTTTTTCCTCCTTCTTAAATATTTTTTTATCTCTATGCTATGCATGGCTAGTCCTTAAATACGGGCCTCACGCTGCAGAAGCAATGATCTTCTTTTTATTTTTCACAATTTATTTTCAACTATTAATTAATAAATTTGAGTTCTTTCTTAAAAAATTATTTGAAATTCACTTTTAATCTAAAAATATATTTCAATATATATATATATATCATGCCACTATAATTTAAAAATTATCTAAGTCTATATTTCAAAAGAAAAAATAATCATGTCCTAAAAATTTATTCCAAAATTCATACATAAAGAAAAATAAATCAAAAATATCAGTAAATATAATTTTAAATTAATTGAATGAGAATTTTAAAAAATAACAAATTAAAGTAGTAAATTTTAAATAATAAAAATAATTAACAAAAAACACTAAAACAAAATGGAACCAAATCAAAATATAATTAAAGTTTGAAGCTGGAAAAAAAAGAGAGAATTTTAAAAAATGACAAATTTGATGTATTAAATTTTAAATAATATAAAAAAATAAAAAAAATTATTTGAAATACACTTTTAATCTAAAAATTTATTTCATAAAAATTATATATATTAATCATGCCAATATAATTTAAAAATTATCTAAATCTATTTTTCAAAAGAAAAAAATCATGTTCTAAAAATTTATTTTATAATCCATACATATAGAAAAATAAATCAAAACTCTCAGTAAATATAATTTTAAATTAATTGGATGAGAATTTAAAAAAAATAACAAATTAAAATAGTAAATTTTAATAATAAAAATAATTAACAAAAAACACTAAAACAAAATAGGACCAAATCACAATATAATTAAACTTTGAAATTAAAAAAGAAAAGAGGATTTTAAAAAAAGACAAATTAAAGTAGTAAATTTTAAATAATAAAAATAATTAACAAATTAAAGTTTGAAATTGAAAAAAAGAAAAGAGAATTTAAAAAAGGACAAATTAAAGTAGTAAATTTTAAATGATAAAAATAATTAAAAAATAATAAAACAAATAATTACCAAATTACAATACAATCAAAGTTTGAAATTGAAAAAAAAAATAGAAAAATTAAAGACCAAAGTGTTACAAAAATGACATGAATAATGAAAGGAATAGTGACTTGTGAGTGTATAAATAGTGATTTGTGAGGATGTGAATAGTATTTCAAATAGTGACATGAATAGTAAAACATAGTTTTACTTTAGTTTTTTTAGTAATGACATATTTGTTCTCAAATTATTAGAGTTGTAGTGAAATAAAACTTATATTATCAATTTAGGTTATTTAGATCCCAAATTATTAACTTTTTAATAAATTGTTTTTTGTTATATCTTACGGTTAAAGTGTTGATCGTAATCGAAATGCTTAAAATAAAATCGTTTTAAATATTTTTATTTTTTTTAGAATTAAAAATTATTTAAAAATATTTAACAATCGTTAGCTTTAAAGAATTTTAGATAATTTTGTTGTTTATGAATGTGACATTTGTTGTTAGATAATTAATAATATGTAATGGATTCATCCAAGTAAACAAAAAACTCGAATTATCAATTTTTTAAAACTAATTTTAATTCTGAAAAAATTGAAAAATTAATAGTTTCTAGTTGGTTTTATGATAAAAATTGCCCTTGTTCTATTGTAATTTGGTAATTTCAGGCTTTTATTATCAATTTGTGTAATTTAAACCTCAAAATATCGATTTTTGGAGCAAATTTTATTCAAATCGTTAATTGTAATGGTCAACCCAATTGATTGATAATTCTTTTTCTCGCTGTTAGTTTTTTTGCTATTATTTAAAAATGTTTTTACTCTATTTTTCAAGAGAGATTTTTTTTCCACCCCTTTACTTATAAATAATAAAAAAATTTTCATTAAATTTATCACTATTTTTTTTTGTTCTCTCCGAAAAAAAGCTTTCACTTTTTGAACCTATCTTTAAAAAAATAAAAAAAATTAGAAAATTTTTAAAAAAATTATAACTATAACAATTTTAAATGCACATTATATATTTGAATCAATTGTGAGAAAAAATTCTTATAAAACATGTGAAGATAAAAAAAATATTAAATAAATGCAATTATATTCAAAATTTAATGATTGATAATCACAATAATAAATTTGTTGGCATTACAAAAGAAAAGTTTGAGTTAAAATTAATTATTTGATAATTTCACTTGATCAAATTTAACCAATATATATTTGTATTTTATTAATTATAAAAGTTGATTGTTTTAATGAATAATAATACTATATGAAGTTATTTTTAAAATTGAAAAAAATTATATACAAATAACCATTTGATTGACTATGAAAAATCAAAGGAATTAATATGTGAAAATTTTAAATAGAAAAAATCTCTGTTGAAAATTAGAGAAAAAAAATTTTAAGATTTTTTTTTAAAATTAACTACAAAAAAAAATAGCAAGAAAAAAATTATTTGTCAAATGAATTAACCGTTATGATTAATGGATTTAGATAAAATTTATCTAAAAATAAATATTTTAAGATTCAAATTATAATAAAACGGAAATAATTTTTGTCGTTAAACTTTTTGCATTTCAAATAGTTTAAATTGATAATATAAATATTATTTTATCGTATCTCTAATAGCTAGGGAATAAATTATACTATAAAACTAAGTAAAATAAAAACTGCTGACCACAAGACAGTTAACTACAAAACCGACAGCTACCAAACCCAAAAAAAAAAAGGCAGTAAATCATAACAATAGGCAAAATTCAAACACAAAGCAGTAGGAGGGGAGAGAAAATGGCATGCGATTTAGAGCCACGCAATGAGATAAGATGGTAGAGCAGGGGCTTTTTTGGCTAATTCAACCATCAATTTTAAAATTCAATAAAATCATAGACATGCGTGGTTTTGTTTTTCAAATTTTCGATTGAGTAACTTGGTTTATAACATCTTCATTAAATGCTGTGAGGTCGAAGTGATGGAAATGGAAAGACTTGTAGCAAAAGGCCAAACACGATTACTCTAAACAATTCTACCTTGAAGGTCACGTTTTGAGTTGTGG